CACGACAACTGCACCACAATTGCAGACAGGTTGTTGGGAAGTCAGAGTGGAACTAACATCCCTCTAAAACTAATTCATATACAGAACACACAGATATACTAGCTCATCTACGGAACACACAGATATTGCAGCGTCTTCTTCACCGGCTGTACTCCCAATGTAAGTGGTCTTTATTCGGCGCACAGCGCATACAGGCGCGAGCAGCAGCCATCAAGAGTACAATCGTAACAGGAGTCCTCGATCTTATCCGGTGACTGCTGTGTGCAGCAGTAGAGCGAAAAGACTGAATGTGAGAGTTCCTAAAACGCAGCTGATGTCCCTCACAACTCCCAGAGGCCCTTGGCGCAGTGGCTCAACGGCCTGGGGATGGGGAAGAGGAGGCAGCCTGAGACGAGTTCCAAATCGCCTTGCTGCAACTGGAGGTGTAAGGCAGCCTCTACATGCGAGCACAACCATGTCCCATTCCTAGCATACGCATACACTGTAGTCAATTGTCGTACTTGGCCCCTATAAACAGCCTGCATGCAAGTCGAAATGCGCCATCGAAGTTCAGAGAGACCCTGCTACGTTTGTCTCTCCACAACCCTCAAACAGCACACGCACTCCTGTGCTCCCCTCGTGTGCCTGATCACCCAGTGAGGCATGGGTGTACCAGCGAGGTGGTGCTTCTGCTGCCTTTGCTTCTGCTACGATGAAAATTTCGAAATAGTCGACTTCTGGACTATTCTGCATCTTAAGATGGTCCTCTGATAAGATCGAGGGCACTCCATAGCCAAGGATAAGGTGGATGATGCTCTGTCACGGGAAATATCTGATGATGCTTGATTAAATCGTCTACTATACTGAGCAGTGCTATGAGCGAACCCGCCCTGATCCGGGCGTGAGTTTCGCTGCTAGCACCTGCATCCATGGACCGTGCCACCAAGTAAGCAAAAAGGCTGCTGAGCTCCCCTACAGGGATCCTGGGTACAGCGGCGCAAGGGCTAGAGGCTGGTGCTGAGGGAAGGCTGCATGTGATGAGCTGCGGCGCACTGTTCTGCAACTAATGCTGCAAGGCGATCCTATAAGGAAGCACACCTACGCCCCCCCTGCCAGATGCACTAAAACTATAGGAAACCGTCTGGCCTGCCAGTCAGCCTGCACGCAAATAGAAATACAAGTTCAGGTTCGCATAGATCAATATAGATCCCGACGAGTTCAAGATACGTTGTCGACCCGTATGTTTTGCTTACTGTCCCCGAAGTAATCTGGGCCCACCGCAGAGGCATGGCAAGCCATGTGTTTCCCGGCTTGAAGCCGAAACTGTGGGCATTTGCCCTTTTAATATTCCTTCAAAAGCATCGGGATGTGTATAGGCAGGCGAAGTTTGAAAGCTTTGGAAGAGCCGGCCAATCAACTGTCGACGACTGCAAGGAACGGAACAAAAGTTGCCCAGGGTATACAGCACGCCAGAACTGCGCATGCGGGGACAACTGCGAGATGTCTTGGCATACGTTGGGTACATCAAAGTGCACATACCATTGGAATTTAAAAAAATAGAGGCAGAAGACGAAAGTGCAAGGTGGTTGCAACCGCACCCTCAGTCGATGCAGTTGGCCCGTTGCTGAGCGACGACCAAGCAAGGCATCCCCAATGAGGCGACGAAGTAAGAATGAGGAGGTACGAAAAGGAAGTGAAGACCAAATTATTTTACTTATTTTGTTATATTTACGCTTTTTGTGCAGTAAGTGGAATGTACTCGTCTTTCCTCTTCAGTCATGTGCTGCAAGTATACGTCTTGAGGATCGAGTTTTGCTGCGGGTAACTGTGGCCCGGTGCTTTTAGCTGGGATCACGAACTTTCCAAGGCCGTAGGAGCTTCTTTTTGAATACAACTGGTGGGGTTTTGGGACCTTTAGCATTTTCCTGCCCAGATGGTCGAGTCAGCTGATGACGCGGCTCCCCACCTGGAGCTCGCTGCTGTTGAGGAGGAGGGCAGCAGCAGCCAGTTGAACAGACAAGGCAACGCGGAAAATGATCCCATAGCGTCCGACTTCGTCCTCATCACGCGCAACAAAAAGAGCTTCCTATCGCCCGTGGTTCTTGCTGCAGCCGCAGCCCTCGCGTGCACTGTATGCGTGTGTATACAGATGCGCAGTATGTATAGATATGCATAAATGGGCATTCTGATGTATGTAAATTGCACGTGCGTGTATGTGCTACTCTTGTTGCATGCTGTGTGTAAACTGTGTACAAATGGAAATAGATTTTGTTCACTTTCATTTTCCGTACAAGAGCGTGCAGTCTGTGCTCGAAGTATGGTGTATACCGGCTGCTTGACAGCAACAGAAACGCAAAAAACGTGCAGTAGCAGGACAGGACCGGCTTGCAGTTCAGATATGAAGAAAGAGGGTAATGGCGAAGTACACCGGGGGAAGAGTTTGGAGGTTTCAGTTGTCGAATCTCTAGTATTATCCCGTTGGTGTCGAGGGCTCGGGTGTCGGCCCTGCAAAGTGAATAAGTGTTCTGTTGTCTCAGTTGAGTTCTTGGTTGTGTGTTAACTGCAGGAGGAAGGAACTTTTGGGTTTACAGGAGAGGAAGTGGGAGCCGCTGCTGCCCCTAGCCCAGTGCCACCTCCCGTGGGGGAGGAGCAGCACGACGAGGAGAAGCTGCCAGAGTCTCTGCCTCCTGTCCGTCTGACGCTTTGCAGCATGAGGGTCTTATTTTTGGGAGTGGGGCGGAGTTGAGGATTTCAGGTTTATGGTTAAGTCTTCTCCGTGGAGGCGCTGTCTACGGCCAGGCGAACCCTACTTTAGAGAATAGAGTTTAGGGTTCAGAGTTTAGGGTATTTTGTTTTTGTGTACAGTCGGGGGAAGAGGAAGAGGGACAATCAGGCGATGATGGTATTGATGCAGAAGAAGAAGAGGACGAGTACATGGACATGCAAAGTGCACTAGGCTCGCCAACCCTCGTACGTCAGGTGACTGAATCATGACGTACAGGCGTTGTACATGCAAGCTATAACAGGCTCGTCAACTATATATATAGCTATACATATATATAGTTAGAACGC